ATAATTATTTTGACTGCTTATTGCTCAAAAATAATACAGAGTAATGTTTTATCCCAAAAAATATTGAATATGTTTCATTGTAATATGTATTATTCAAATGCCAACTTATTATAGATTCTATAGGTAAGTGTGTGTGTGTATTAATAGATAGATACGGTCAAACGTACGCCTAGGAGACCGCAAGCGTCAAACTGTGACTTTAACTGTGGGACGGGGGAACTTCTAGTGAACTAGCAAAGACTGTGAAAGTGTGAAGACACTAATCAAACTATCAAAGTAATGGAATAAATTTACATTTAAATAATTAAATCATACTTTGGTCCGGTTCAGTTTCCGGTACTGGTTCTCATTTTATGAGAATCGATTTTGGCGTTGTTTGAAACCGGTATGGTCCGGTTCGGGACACAAAAATTGAGATTCGTTTCAAACCCCATTTTTTGGTTTGGTACCATACCGGTCCGGTTCAATACCATGCCAGTTCGGTATTTTTGCCCACCCCTAATTATTATGACATGACAATTTTTTATCGTCAAAACGGATGGCTTAAATTACAATTACAGGGTTCAGATAGGGGGTAAAACGACAAAAGGACAACAGACAACCGCTAGCCCTTCAACCAAACTTAGAGTCAATCACCTCCAAAAAGCAATATAACTTACTGATCCTATAGTGGACATAAATGAGCCAACGACGATTAAAGCAGACCTATCATCACCCAATCATAGTGCAATAGTCTTACAACAATAAAAGTAATCAGCAGAAAAATAAACAGAGTGGTCATGAAAAATAAAAAACAATCAAACAGTAAAATTAAAATACTGCTTCCAAACCCTAAACTCTCCTTCACCCCATTGCGGCGGTTCAGGAGGGAGATGGTCCAACGCTACTGTAGTTTCGTCCGCTCCTTGCCTCCGGTCCAGATCTTTTCCAGATCCTAACCCCACGCTTTGTGCATAACCTTCTGATTTCAACCATGAACGACATCTTCGAAACTCTCCACCTATTGCTAGAGGTACAAAACTTTTTCCTGCCATATTGACGTTGCGGTCTGTGAAGAAGAGAGTCTCACAAAAGGCGGACGAAAGCCGCACAAGAAAACCGCACTCCGTCAAAGATGAAAGATGAGAACAACAACCCTGAAACCTAGAGGAGATGGCGGCATAGAGAGAGCTCTCGATGGAGAGAGACGTTTGCAAATACTATTGCGACAAATATTGCGACAAATATTAGAAACACCATGACATGACAGATTGAGAGGCATACATTGAAATACATTATATCAATTTTAACCTGATTAAATATAAAAAATAGCTAGACTTTAAAAAAAGATGACACCCATCCGACGAGATGGACCACACAGTAATCCGTATAACATCTTTACTTGGAATTGAAACGATAGACATCTTTCTTGTGGTAGCTACTTTCCATTCCACCCAGAGTTACACTCCCCAGTCCCCACGACTAGTTTGACCTTCACGACTTTATTGATAAGTTGTGATGATGTATACATGCAAAGGGATCCGGAGCCTCTACCTTACTTTAGAGTAAGGTAGAGTGCTTTGTTTCCTCCCGATCGTCCGATCCACAATTGAACGGTCGGAGATCTTGGGCTCCACTTTTTCGCCAATCTCGAGACCGTGTTGGCTGCTCCCCTCCCGTCCGATGCGCAAGGCACCCTCCTAGTCGGGTAGAGGATCCCAATCCCATGCGAGACCTCTATGGTATATCTATGCAATATAATGCAATAGTGCCATGTCAATTAGTATTATAAGTACTACGTATTAACTAGCTAGATTCAAGACCTCTGAAGTCTCAATAGTTTCAATCCATTCTCTCTCTTTTGCTTCTTTGCAATCTCCAATGGAGCCAAAAATCTATGATTAGGGGGGCTGGGGTGTTGAAAATTTTACATTAAGTGTTAAATATCCCACACCGGAAAATTTTTGATGAACAAAGTGTTATATTAAGATCTGGATTACTCCACCGAGCATTTAGGATGAAACCCCAATTCAAGTCTTAACATGATATTAGAGACAAATCGATCCATGATGTGAGACTTCTTATGAAAAATGACGACACGATTACAAAACGGCCGGATGAAAAAAACGGACCGATGGAAAAAAACAAATGAATGATTGCACGATCCAGACAGAGTGTCTGGTCGTGAGGAGGGGTGTTAAATGTCCCACACCGGAAAAATTTGGATGAACAAAGTGTTATATTAAGATCTGGATTACTCCTCCTATCAGGTTGTTCTTTTAGGATGGAACCCCAAGTCTTAACAGGATCTTTTCTATAGGATCGTACCTCTGAATCCTTGAATTATAAGGAGATCGAAAACTAAACCTGGTTGATGACCAAAGACCTGAGGTTCTATCCTAAAAGGTCAGCCTGATAGGAGGAGTAATCCAGATCTTAGTATAACGCTTATTTCCTTCACACGTTTCCGGTGTGGGAATTCAACACCCTTCCTCAAGACCAGACAATTCGTCTGGATCGTGCCGTCATTCATTTTTCATCAATTCGTCATTGTCATTTTTTTATAATCACGTGATCATATTTCATATGGGGGCCTACACCATGGATCGGTTTGGCTGTGATACCATGAAAAGACTTGGGGTTCCATCCTAAAGGATCAACCTGATAGGAGGAGTAGTACAGATCTTAATATAGCACTTAGTTTCTTCACACGTTTCCGGTGTGGGAATTCAACATTAAGGGAGCCCAAGTTTAAAACTTCAACAAATTTTCTATAGATTAAAAGTATTTAATATTTATACATAATATATACTTAAGAATTTTCAGAAATTGCCCTAAATAGGAGTAAAAACATTTTGAAATTCCAAAATAGGACTATCATGTTTTTTATTCCTTGAATAGGAGTAATCTGCCAAGTTTGAAAAAAATGTCATGTTTAAAGCTTTGTAATGCCAAACTTGGCAGAAATTTACTTCTATTCACGGAATAAAAAACATGATATAGTCCTTAATTTCAAAACGTTTTTATTCCTATTTAGTAGGGGTGAGATTTTGGAACCGGGAACCGTAGAACCGATTGGAACCGAACCATTAACAACATCTAGGAACCGAACCGTTAACAATTAATGCCTCATTTGTAGGAACCGAACCGAAACGGGTTATAACGGTTTGGTTCCCGGTTCCTATAAAAAATATGTGCATGGAACCGTTAAGGAACCGTTATAAAAAAAAAATAGTAGTAGTAGTAGTAACAACAATAATAATAATAATATAATAGCAATAACAACCACCACCACAACAACAATAATAAAATAATATAAGATATTTAACTAACAATTCTAATTTAATCAACGAAAAAGAAGTAATAAATATTGTACATGAGGTTGATATAATACATTAAACTCCTTTCTACAAATCAAGTTTTGTTCCATCACATAAATTTTATAAATATAAAATATAATAACCCAAATAACTTGTAGTTGATTGCACATATTTTACTTTACTATTTTCATGATATTTCTAATTATTAGATTTATTATGAATCAATAGAATGTAATAATGTTTTTTATATCTATACATGCAAACTCAATGTCTTTTTTTTTATGTTTTGAAAGACTTGAAGTAGGCGTCCTATTCTTGCTACTATGATGACGAGTAATCTTCATCGCTCCGACACTACAACGATTTTTAATGTTTGATTTATTACATGAAAATTTAAATCACTTTTGTTCTATTAAGTGTTCAAAGTTTATTACGTAAGTTTGAGCTTTGATGTTTGAAGTGATTAGAGCTTCAAATAAAATTTTAATACTCGTGTTTTGAATTTTCGACGTGTTTAAAATTATGTGTTAATTCTTAGACGAGAAAAAATTATTCTAAGAACCGGTAAAAGGAAGAAACGAACCGTTTACTACCGGTTCGGTTCCATGACAGTTCTTGATTTTTTATATAGGAACCGAAACGATTTCATTAGTTAAAATTTTTATAACGGTTCCACTCATTTTGAGTAAGAACCGAACCGGTCCCAACCCTACTATTTAGAGAATTTTGCAGCATAGAGAGAGCTCTAGATGGAGAGAGACGTTTGCAAATACTATTGTGACAAATATTATAAACACTATGACATGACAGATTGAGAGGCATACATTGAGAGAAATACATTATATCAATATTAACGTGATTAAATATAAAAAAATAGCTAGACTTTAAAAAAAAGATGACACCCATCCGAAATGGACCACACAATAATCCGTATAACATCTTTACTTGGAATTGAATAGGGATCTGTCAAGTTTGAAAAAAATGTCATGTTTAAAGTTTTGTAATACCAAACTTGGCAGAAATTTACTTCTATTCAGGGAATAAAAATCATGATAATCCTATTTTGGAATTTCAAAATGTTTTTACTCCTATTTAGAGAATTGTCTTAATAATTTTTTGTTGCTGTAGGGGTGGAGGCCCCTCCAACCCCTCCCTCTCTCCATCCTTGGTTGCATTCCAAGTTCTCTTTTGAGTATTGCACCAAACTTCTAAGTAAGTTTTCATTAAATTAAACTTAATTTCCGATTGAAGGAACAACTATTCAGGACCAAATATTTACCATTTTTGTGAAAAAGATTTTAAAATGTACTCCGTAATATTTAACTTATGGCATTAAAGTGGATAAAACTCAAAATTACGAGTTTATTAGTGATTATATGTACTAAAATTGTATATTGAATTCAATAATGCTTTCTTGTTTGATCTAGACTCGACAATACTGTATTAAAGAACATATTACACTTTACAATAAATCAACAGATATGGTACTGTTGCCATCTAATATTGTATTACATTTTTCTAGAAATAAATTTCATTTTTCATTTGTCATTGATCTCAATATAATCTCTTCTCCTTTTATGAAAAAAATAAATGAAGAATACATCCTTGTTATAATAATTTCTTTAATTTCTACTCCGTACTATAAATAACATTTGACCACAGGTCTTTACTTTCTTTGTGATTTATGCGAAGAGGAAGGTAGCATTACATCACTTCCATATTTTGGCCATGTCTAGTTGCATCCCACATACATATTTTTGCTTCTTTTATTTAAAAATTTAAAACTAAAACTCACTAGTTGTATTGTCCGCCAAATATGATTCGACGAGAATATTCAAATTAGTAATAAAAAAAAAGTACTACAAAATTCGATAAGCTACGAATGCAAACTCGAGAAAATTAATTTAATTTAATTCCTACGGAGTATAATAAAATTAAAAAAGAAAAACTAAAAAGAAAACAAGGGCGGGTGAAATTTGTTTAATTAAGACGGGCTGCTCTCCCTACCGTACTAAGGTACGCCTGCTCTCACTAGATCATCTGCCGGAAGTGGGGCCCAATATGATGATGGATCAGGTAATCATCGGCGTTGGACACGTCAAACATCATCTTCTGATGGATGAACTGTTGCTGGTGCTGGGCCCGGACTAGCTCCTTCTGCCGCCGGATCTCCAGAACCTTCCGGTGCGAATTCGAGTGCTTCGTCAGCATGAACGTCGGGCTCGCCGCCGGCCGGTACTCCGGTACCAGCCGCCCCGACTTGTACCTCACCCCGCACGCGTTGCACAGCGTCTTCGGCCCCATCGGCCCCGTCCGCCACTGCGGCGTCTTGTCCGTCGCGCAGTGCAGGCACTTCCGCCCCTCGCTGTTGTTGTTCATCGCGCCGGCCGCCGCTGAAGCCGCCGCGGTTGGCGGCGCTTCCTTCTTCTTAAAGGACGCCGCCTTCACCGTCTTCTTCCCGATGCTCGACGGGTTGTCGGATTCGGAGGACGAGGAGGCGGAGACGGGAGGAGAGACGACCAGGAGGCGGGACGTCCAGTTCACGGGGGCGGCGCGTGAGCGTTTGCTGCGGGCCTTGGCGGGCACGGAAATGTTTTCGGGCCTGAAGGGGATTGAGTCCGGGTTGGGTTCGGGCTGGAAACGGTGCGGGTCGGACGAGTCCTCGGGCCGGGTCTTCATACCGGACATAAGCTGCAGCTTCTGCAATTCTTCCCCGCTCGAAAACGATTCCTCCACAAAGTTTGATAGCCATTCAAGCTCAGCCATGTCTTCATACTGTAAATTCGGAAACCAAATATTATTCATAACCCATAAATATTCTTTTTCTACACATCATTATAGCTAGCTAGTAGAATATGTTTACAAATATCTATAATTCTTTTTGTTAAATTGGTGTAGCAAAATGCTTCTAACTTCGCTGCATATATGTTTGTGACAACTTTACGAATTATTGAAAAATTATTTGATTTTTCTTCTTGTTTATCACTTGTTTGGTAACACAAAAATTAGATACTTGATTAGATCTACTAAAATTGATGAAATACTAATTCAAATAACTAAGTTAGGTGAAATTACTGAATTATACGGAGTATAAAAATTATATTTAAAATATGTGGAGTAATCCGTTAACAAATTAAATAAAAATTAAAAACTTATATAAAATAAACTAAAATAATCTTCTATCTTTACCTCAATTAATTCAACCAAAAACTAACTTCAATAGGAAGTACTACTTATTTTAATTATTACATAATTAAAAACTTGAAAGTAAAGATTATACGGAGTACTACATATTAAAAGTTGGCTGAACTCAAATGTTTTACTAAATTGGCCGGAGCAATTGTGTGCGCTGAAATCTTATAATGCCACGAATAGACTCGTCAATAAGGTGTGGGGAAAACCCTCACATGAGAACTGATTGATTGAAAAATCTATTGAGACCCAAATAAAAAACTAAAGCAAACAAAAACTAATCAATGATGACATTATGATAGACTAATTTTCTGGTATTTTAGTATGAAAAACATTTTTGATACAAATATCTTACCCACGTTTGTGATCAGTTATTTTTTTGTACTTAAATAGTGTACAATATAAATGAAGAATTTTTGTTTAAGTTTAGGTTTTTACAACAAATTAGAATCAATCTCCATACCAAAACTGAACGCAACTCTGTAAAATCAACCAAAACCAATTTAAACTATTCAACAGGTTTTTGTGTTGGCATTTCCCAAATCCGGTCCGACGCCAACCAAACCGATCCAAACCAAACTGATCTAAAACTAGAATATGGATTTTTGAAAGTTAGAAATTGGAAGATAGCTAGGAGATATCTTATTAGCTTTTCCTTTTCCTTTTTCTTTCTTTTCCTGAATTTGAAAAAAAAAAAATCCCAGCTTCCAAAACAAAGAAAAGTCACACGTTTCTCTTTATAGAAGGAAACGAAAAAGCTCAGTAAAAACAAAATCCCTCTCCCGCAATTCAAACGTATTTCACGTACAAAAGCAAGCATTAAAGTCTTGTACAATTTGCTACTTCCTACAAGGCACTGCTGGAGCGGGCCAGGTACAGCCCATTATTTAAGTGCGTGTTTGGCCCCAAATTTACTTCTATAAATGTGTTTTTGACTCTCAAAGGCAATTTAATCAAGTAAATTAAATGTGGATTACAATCTTTGTAATAAATAAAATAGTGACTGTGTCCAATCTCTTAATTTTTTTTTGACAAAATTGCGTTATTATAACCCCATCTCTACCTCCGTTCCGTTCTACTCTCAGTATATTTCCCACAATTAAATTCCTAATTTAAATTCACCGGTTTTCAAGCAAAATATATTTTCTGTAAGTTTTCAAGTACACTCTTTCACAAAAGAAAGTATGATAAAGAAAATTAATAATTATTTAATTAATAATGTACTTTTTATAAAAGTAAAAGATTACTCATTTACTCATCTGTTCCTAAAAAGTGAATACATATAATTTTGAGACATCCCGAGAAAGAAAGTGAGAAGATATTTGCTAGAAGAATGGACTATAATTTTATTTTATACATCGTAAATTAGTAAATATAGATAGTAGTTTTAGAAGAAAATGGGAGTAGTTTGTGTCTATGAGGATTATTCCTTTTTTACTAAGAATAATACGGAGTACTTTTTAGTAATATATTAAAATAAATATATTCTGCCCTTAGGATTCTGGACTACACGTGACATTGTCACAAGAGCTGCATTAATTTTTCCAAAGTATGGAATTTATTTTTTTGAATTAAATATGTCAATCTTGACAGAATTGAAGAATTAAAAGTGAAATTAACATTTTTATAATTAGATAAAACAAAAGGACTAATCTAATTTTCCCCACATACACCGACAGCAAGCAAAGATTTCAACTTTTAACCATAGAAATTTAACTCCTAGGAAAAGTTTAAAACCAATTGAATTAGTAAAGGTGAAATTACTTAGCCCGGGGGAATGAATTATTAGAGAAGAAGATAAATGCGTTGAAGCAATTAATTATTAAGAAAATCGTTTCCCGCTTTTGGACAGAGAAGAGCTGGAAATGTAACCTCCCAAAAATTGATAATTAATTAGTGTTCCAAATTGGAGAATTGACAGAGAATTGGCGATTACCGGGACACAAAATTCACCGGCGAAGGGCCCGTCGGCGAGATTCCGGCAGCTCAAGTCAGCGGCGAATTGGACGTCGTGAGCACCGCCAGAGAAGGAGGAGTTGCAGGAGGCGTCAAACGCGGTGGCGGTGGAGGAATCCGTGGAGGCTCCGCCAGCGACGGCAGCTGCGGCGGCGGCGTCGTCAATCGCACCCTCGGCGAGCATGCCCTCGTCGCTGGGAAAGTCGAGGAGGTCCTCGACGATGAAATGGTCCCCGCCGGCATTCTTCGCGTCGGCGGGAAGCTGCCGGTGCTTATCGGCGGAGAATTGGGGGGCGTAGAAAGAGGCTTGGAAGAATTCGGACGGCGTTTCCATGGAAATGGAGTTTGCGTTTGGGAAGAAACTGAAAAATAAGAATAGTAGAGAGAGAGAGAGTGAGAGAAAGGGGGAGATTAGTGAGGAGAGAGAGAGGTTAGTTAGTGTGGAGAGAGAAAGTGAAGTGAAGTTTTTGGATGAGAGAGAGAGGTGGGAAAGGATGAGAATGGGAGGGTTTATTTGCGTTTGAAGGGGGACAAGCAGACAGCTGAAATTTTGGATTTTGACGACGAATTCCTTTAAATATTACTACTATTATGGCTTTCATTTTTTACGTCAAAATTAAATTACTCCGTGGAATAGATATTTCATCTTTTCTCTTTTTACTGTAATAATATTCTTCTTTTACAGTATTCATATATCATCCTATTTTGGTCATATGTTGACATTAATAAAGTATAAAAAATAAGCTCATTTGTATAAGTAATCTCCTCTTCCATAATATGTAGTATAATTCAATGATAATTAAAATTTATTATTTCATTAAGAGGCCGGATTGAAATACCTAAATCGGTTGTATTAATTGATTCTGTTGAAATTTATGAAGTTTTGACTGAAGTGGCTAGATTGACCGATTCTGCAGATTTGTGTTGGGGAAATTAAAATATATAGAGTATTTAATTAATAAAATAAAGGTAAAATAATTTGAAAAAAGCAGCTAAAATGATTATCTACAAAACGGTATAGAGGATCATTTTATATTGACATATTATATGAAAAACAACTAAAAAAAACAACGTGCCAAATAGCTCGTGACAAAACGTCGTTCGTACGAATTATATGTATCCGTGCATTATATCGAGGAATCCCTACCAAAGAAACTATGAGAGTGTTTGCAATAGCTTAAAAAAAAGCACTTCTCAGCTTTTGGCTTAAAAAAGCACTTATTTACCAAACATTTCCAATTTTTACTTTTTCTCGGCTTGCGTGTGAAAAGTGCTTTTCCCTTTTCTATTACACAAAAAGCACTTATTTTACCAAACACTATCAACTTTTACTTTTCAAAATCATTTTTTTCTCAAACACTATCAACTTTTACTACTAATCACTTTTTCATTACTTCTCCAAAAGTGCTTTTTTTAAGCAGAAGCAGTTGCAAACACTCCCTATATGGGCGAGGTTTTAAAAAGTCAGCATATTCAATTAAAAAAGTTATGTAATCTTAATTGTTATACAATTTAGCATCAAAACAAAAAAATAACCAACACTTGGCAAAATGTTAGCTGAAAGGTACGGTACATACAAATAAATACGAAGTAAAATGCGGAGTAATAGGTTAGCAACACTTTATTTTTAACCCTTTTGAAGTTTAAACATATACAAACCGCGTCAAACGTACAAATTAAAGTACGTATAGTACATTCAAAACGCTAACACTAGTGGTTAATAATACTACGTACACGCTAGCTTTACTCATTAATTAGCATTCCCACGAAATTATAGGATTTCTAAATGTTAGGTCTGATATTGGTGGTTGAGGGCACATTTTAAGGACAAGATTTTTCTCCATACACTTAACTCGTCCATTACTTAATTGTGTACTTAATTGTATTTGTGATACGATATGCTGATTTTATAACTATCTATAATATTATAAAGTAATAAGGTGTAGTGATGGAATATTAAATTCTAGAGAAGTAAGAGCTAGAGAGACAAAGTGAATAATTAATATTTCTCAACCCCCTATAAACTACCTCTAGGGGGTTAGTTATATGAGTAAATCTATAATAATATAAAGTAATAAGGTGCAGTGATGAGATATTAAATTTTACAGAGATGTAAAAGCTAGAGAGAGAAAGTGAACAATTAATATTTCTCAACCCCTATAACTACCCTAGGAGGCTATTTATAGGAGTAAATGTGGATTTAGACTCCTAACCATGGGCTTAGGAGACCCATTACAATGATTGTGCCTCTTTTGGCTGACATAATAAGGTCACTAATGGGCTGAGTACAAGACTTAATAGATTCAGTATAAAAATGCATTCTGTCGGGCCACTTCTAGCCGATCTGGTGTCTCTTAGCTGATGCGGTCGTCTGGCCGATGCGATCCCCGACCGATGGGGACCCACTTCCTCTCTGGGTGGTGTCCTGAGTAGATTTGGTTTTGGTCGTTGCAGGACCCACTTGGCCGTAAGGTGCCACGTGGGTGTCCCTCTTTGGTGTCTTTGACCTTCTGAGTATGTGGGCGATGAGATCTGACCCATATACTCTATCATGTAGCATCTTGCTTCTCCCTCCAATTAGACATTTAATGTTTCCTACCTATTGAAAAATAAGAGTTACACTAATTAATAATTAGCAATTAGTAATAATAATAGTAGTAGTACATAGTAATATATAATGGAGTAATTGCAAGATTTGCAATTCAAAATAATCTATAATAATATAAATTAACAAGGTGTAGTGTCTTGCTTTCCCCTCCAATTAGATATTTAATGCTTCATGTATAATAATATAAAGTAACAAGGTGTAGCATCTTGTTTTTCCCTCCAATTAGACATTTAATGCTTCATACTCATTAAAAAAACAAGAGCTACTTTAATAATTAGCAATTAGTAATAATAATAGTAGTAGTACATAGTAATATATAATGGAGTAATTGCAAGATTTTCAATTCAAAATAATCTATAATAATATAAATTAACAAGGTGTAGCGTCTTGCTTTCCCCTCTTTCCCCTCCAATTAGACATTTAATGCTTCATACTCATTAAAAAAAACAAGAGTTACATTAATAATTAGCAATTAGTAATAATAATAGTAGTAGTATATAATAATATATAAGTCCCAATACAATAATAGTTATATTAATAAGGAGAAAATAATTAAATTACCCTGAACTTTAGGTATGTGTGATATCTCTACCCTGAACTTGTATGTGTTAATTAAATACCCCCTCCTTTAAGTAACCTGAGAAACAGCTACCCTACCCGCTGATGTCAACATGAAAAAAATCCATCGTGGCCAAGGGTTTAGTGCTACATGGACAATTTGAAAAATAAAGTCTTTGGGAGAGCTTCAACGTAAAATTCAAAGCTTCTTCCTTCTGCGTCTTTTGTTTCTACAGAGGAGATGGCGAGAACAACAACTAGCAGACTTTGAAGGCTTGACAAAAAAAACTGTCCCTCAGAGATGCGGTTGAACGTAAGTTAATTGCTTCTACTTACGTCAAAAAGTTTGATTCAAAAACTAGGGTTTATATAAGGGTGTGTTATGGAAGTGTGTAACTTCCGTGAAGATGGCCAAGTGAGCGAAGAAAGTGAGAGTAATGAAAGAGAAGATATTGGGAGTGGGGGTTCATCAAGTGATGAGGAGTGGCTTGGTAGTCGGGAAAAACTTGTTTTGTACAACTCTCAAGTGTTTGGTGACCTTCAAGAAGAGCCCAATGAGCCCTTTTATGATAGTGACAATTCAGAAAACTATATGCTCACACCAAATGGAAGTGATGAGGAAGGTGATAGTGCTGCCAAGAAGGTCAAGGTTGTTTATAAAGTAGATGATGATGCTACACTCAAATTGCTAAAGTGGACAGTAGGTATGAAGTTTGCTTCTCCTGAAATATTCAAGAAAGAAGTGGTTAGGTATGCTGTGGTTGCGGGGTATAGCATCAGGTTATGTAAGAGTGAAAAGGAAAGGGTTGCAGCAAAGTGTAAAGAAGGTTGTGTTTGGAGGATATATGCTTCTTGGGATGGAATGAAAGAGTCATTTGTGGTGAAGTCTGTCAATCCTAATCATACATGTAACCGACAAGATTATGAGAATGTACAAGCCAAGCCTAAATGGTTAGCTGAAGAGTATTTAGAGGAGTACAAAAAAAAATCCAAATTGGCCAAGGAAAGCACTGCAACAATCTGTAATGGAGAGATTTGGTGTCCGTCTTCAACGGTTTTCATGTTATACTGTAAAGAAACACGCTCATGAGATGTTACATGGGACCCTAAAAGAACATTATAGTAAACTTGGTTCGTACTTGAGAGAGTTGAAGAGAGTTGATCCTCAAGTGACTTCTATATTAGTTATTGATAAGCCTAATCTGCCCAGGGAACCAGACATCTTTAAGAGGCTTTATGTGAGTTTTCCTGGATTGAGAGATGGATTTCTAAGTGGATGTAGATTTGTGCTATGTGTAGATGGGTGCTTCTTAAATACATTTTTAGGTGGAATGTTATTATGTGCTGTTGGAAGAGATGGGAACAATCAAATGTACCCTGTTGCTTGGGCAGTGGTGGAGGCTGAAAATAATGATTCTTGGAGTTGGTTTTTAGGTGTTCTGAAAGGTGATTTGCCTGGTTTTGGTAATGAGAACTCTACCATTTGTTCAGATAAGCAGAAGGGATTGTGTAAAGCTGTTACTGAGCATTTTCCAGCAGCAGAACATAGGAACTGTGCTAGACATATTTTTGCAAATTGGCTGAAGAAACACAAGGGGGAGCAACTTAGGTGTTTGTATTGGAAGGCTGTCAGAGCATATGCTAGAGCTGACTTCGATAGTGCACTTGAGGAAATGAAAGCTGTTAGTACCAAAGTTGTTGAAGATTTTATTTCCCAGAATCCAACCACCTTCTGCAGGTCCTACATGAAAACACTGAGTAAGAGTGATGTCATTGTCAGTAATATGGCAGAGATTTTCAATGGATATATTATTGAAGCAAGATCCAAACCTCTCATTCAAATGCTTGAGGATATAAGGTTGAGTGTAATGCAAAGGGTGCATGTGAATAGATCTTCTATGGTCTCTAGGCATGATGAAATCTGTCCTAGAATAAGGAAATGCTTAGAGGCTGAAAAAGAACATGCTAGGATGTGTGATTGTTTTCCCGCTAGTGAGTTTGAGTTTCAAGTCATGCACCATTTGGACATGTTCAGTGTCAATCTAAATGATAAGACATGTACATGTAGGAAGTGGGATCTAACTGGAATACCATGTGTCCATGTCATATCTTGTTGTAATTGGCTAAGGGTTCCTCCTGAAAACTTTGTATTGGACTGGTTTAAGAAGGTTAAATACCTCCAGAGCTATATTATCTCAGTCAAACCAATTAATGGTGAGAGGCACTGGGAAAAGATAGACTATGCCTTAAATCCTCCACCAATAAAGATAAATGCGGGAAGGCCTAAGAAAAATAGAAGAAAGGAGGCACATGAGAGATTTGAAAAGAAAGGT